TGGTGGTGGTGTAATGGTGTGTGGGATATTTTCTTGGCACACTTTGGGCCCCTTAGTACCAACTGAGCATGGTTTAATCACCACAGCCTACCTGAGTATTGTTGCTGACCGTGTCCATCCCTTTATGACCACAGTGTACCCATCTTCTGATGGCTACTTCCAGCAGGATAACACACCATGTCACAAAGCTCAAATCATCTCAAACTGGTTTCTTGAACATGACAATGAGTTCACTGTACTCCAATGGCCTCCACAGTCACCAGATCTCAATCCAATACAGCACCTTTGGGATGTGGTGGAACGGGAGATTCACATCATGGATGTGCAGCTGACAAATCTGCAGCAACTGTGTGATGCTATCATGTCAATATGGACCAAAATCTCTGAGGAATTTCTCCAGCACCTTGTTGAATCTATGACACCAAAAATTGAGACAGTTCTGAAGGCAAAACCTGGCACTAGTGAGGTGTACCTAATAAAGTGGCCAGTGAGTGTGTGTACATGGGTTATTTTTGGGTAACAAAGTTAAATGGTAATAAAAATTGTGCATATTTCGAAAATTTTAAAGTGTTGGTTTATCTATATAAGGAAGCTGTCTGTTTAATTTCACTCAATGCCTTATGGAGAATGGGAGGGATTTAATAAGTTTATACTTCCTCACACTCCTTTTTGGATGTGTAAATCAAAGTAAAGTCTCTCTGTCTGCTAGTTTGTATGTTCATGTCTGTTTTTATATGTTCAAATTAAATATCAGATATCAATATCAATGTCAATCACCAGTTGTCTACTTGGGAGTGATTGTTGTTGTCGGCATAGTGTAATGGCAATTCGGTCTGTACAGCTTTGACCTTCTATCCAGAGACCCTCGGTTCATTTAAGGACAAATTTAGCCAAAATAAAATCCCTTAAATCAGGGGGAAAAAGGCAAAAGACTCAGGAGGACCAGAGTGTGATGTGTGTCCTGAGATGACAGCTTCATTCTCAGAGTACCATGTATTTTTTGCACAAAGACATTTTAATAAGTTCATCTCCCCCTCCACAGCCGACCTCCATTGTCAGCTACAATCACCTTGGCAACAACGACGGTAAGAACCTGTCGGCTCCGCAGCAGTTCCGCTCCAAAGAGATCTCCAAGAGCAACGTGGTGGACGACATGGTCCGGTCGAACCCCATCTTGTACCAGCCTGGAGAAAAACCTGATCACTGTGTGAGTGACTCGCAGACAGATAACGAGCTCTGTGTGGATGTTTACTGAAAACAACCCATCAGATTCACTAACTGTCTCCGTGTGTGTGATTTCAGGTGGTGATTAAGTACGTCCCGTATGTGGGAGACAGCAAGCGCGCCATGGATGAATACACGTCTGAAATAATGATGGGAGGAACCAATACTATCGCTCTGCACAACACCTGTGAGGTCAGTGGCCGCTGAATCTATTCCTGTAAAACATTTAGCTGAAAAAAGGCAAGTCAGGCATATTAGAAGAGTTTCCAGTGTGAGAGTTCAAAGTGCTAATTGCTCACTAAACACAGTGTTCAGAGCTATTCTTCTTCAGCTGACAGTAACTGTGGAGGAGGAGGAGGCTCAGGAGTACCGCAACTTACCGTTAATCCTTCTTAACAAGTCTTGGAGCTAATTTAAAGAGACGTCTCCAGGTCATTGACATAGTTATTTCACGTTTCACTGGCCTCGCTGCTGTAGTCCACCATCATTCTTACACACTGAATAACATCTACTCTGGTCATGTGGTGGGAAACAGATCGATTATACTTTTTTCAACAGAGATTTTTACAAACAGCAACTTAAAGTATGCAACTTTAATAACTTATGTCAAAATAATAGGGTTGGGTGATTGATTGAATTGTATTTTCTTTCTTTTTAAACAAGGTATTTTTATTGTTAATTCAATAAAGATGTACAGAGTATTAATAAACAAACACAGATGCAGTAAGGACAAAAAGACAACTCACCCACCCATCAACCCAGGAACAGAGGAAGCCAGACTAGTCAGAGAAAATCTAATAGAGAAAAATAATAACTAAATACATAAATACATGAATGAATAAATAGATAAAAAAATAAAATAAAATTAAATTAAAACATATATAAAATAAATTAAAATAAAAATGAAATAAAATAAATTGAAAAATGTATGAATATAAACATTTCAAAAATTTTAAAATGGGGAAAAATAATGACAAATTAACTAACTTGTGTGACGTAAGTAGGGGTGTATAGCGTGTTTAATTACAAATTTTCAGCTTCCAAATTTCCCCTAAAACTTCAAAATGGTTGCCAACTGGTAAAAAAGCGTGCAGTTGATCCTTCAATAAAACAACAGATTTTCTCCAATTGTAAATAATGATAATAACATCCCTAATCCAGCGTCCATATGTTGGAGGTGAAGAGTCCTTCCATTTACACAGGACGAGCCTTCTGGACAGACGTGAGCAGAAGGAGACAATGTCCGCTTGCGCTTTACTTACGATAACATCTAGAGGTGTTTCTTAATTGAATTGTTTTTTTAATTGTAAATTTTACATCCTATGATTATGAAAACAAGACAGTCACAATAAAATGAGTATTTCTTTGCGACTGTGCACTCAGTGTTTCAACTTGGCCACTTTCTCCTTGATTTTGTGAGTTTTCAGACACTCTTTTTCAGACTTTATTAAAAAAAAAAACTTCCTGCGACTGTGACTGCTGCAGGTGCAGCCTATTAAACTCTCATTACCTTACGAGGCGGAGCTCTGAGGATGGCTGCAAACATTTCATTTATAACCTCATCACCCGAAAGTGTCGATTAGCAGAACGAGACATAAACAGACTGAAAGGGGAAGTCCCCAGGCAGACTCCCACTGCAGAAGATTCATACCATGCCAAAGTAATAACTACTGCTATAGAGTGTTAATCGCTGTGGGTATCTGGCCAAACTTGCATACACTGAATATAGCACAGAATACTGAATAAAAGCATATGGTCAAAGTGCTTGAGCCACACTGCAACGTACCTTCATGTGCACGTCTGTTGTGCCGGCACTGTATAAACAAGCACAAGCTGCAGTTCAGACACGGACATCTCGCTCAACATCTCCCACCCACACCCCCTGCCCTCAGCTGTTGTACAAGAAAATTAGAATTAGATATCGTGACCTCGAATAGTTACATAGCAGTTTACAGTATGACATTTTGAAAACATGAATAGGTTGTTTAGAGATGTGAATAAAAAGAAGTCCCGAAGCAGCAGAAAGACGTGACAGATCTCAAGAAAAGAGCAAGATTATTCCAGTCAGATGGAGCATTGTACTGGAATGACCTTCATCCAACTTCTTTGAAAACTGTGGGGACAAAAAAGTTATATTACATATGTCTAAGTTAATATGAGGCATTACATGGAGTCAAAAACAGTTTAAAAGTACCAGGGACACGTGAAAATGAATTGAATCCAGTGAAATTGCCTTCTAGATCGAGGCTGCAGCCAGTTCAGTGATTCATACATGAAGCTGTGTTGAGTTCTACATGGACACCTCAAAACAAATCTACATAGAGAATTATACACTGCATTAAGGAGTTTAAGATGAGTGTCAAATGTGTTTTGATAGACTATGTCAGCATAATCAGTAATAGGTGATATCAACTGTGAAATTATTCTTTTCCTGACCTGAAATGTAAAACAATCAATTGACCAATAAAGTGAACTCAGACAACCATGCACTCTTTTTATAATCAATATGTGGCTTAAACGAAAGTTCATGGTTGATCCAAAGTCCAAGATATTTGACCAAGTCAGCTTTGTCAAGAGTTGATTCATCATCATCATATGCATATTAAGGGGACGTGAACGGTTTTGTCATGTACCAAAAACTGTTACATTAGGAAATATGGCCAGTGAGCCAGCTACAGTGTAATTATATTTAAAGTTCAAGAAAATCCACTGTTAAACAGCCTAATTTTTATGTTCAGCAAATGCTTGATATTTCCAAAGTCAATAAGTGAATCTCAGTGTTGACCAAAGTAATCGTGATTATGATTTTTGCCATGATCGAACAGCCCCACAATATTTTTTAAAAGGTTCTGCAATCACACAAAAATGCTACACATGTTGTCCAAAAAAAAAGAAATGTATTTTGTGCATTTTAGATGTAGTTTCATATCAAATGAACGCTTAATTTACAGTTAATTAAAACAGCTAAAGTGGTTGGCTCTAACACTGGAAACAATGTGGTGTCATTTTATCTGTGTCAGAGTAGTGGGCATCAATGTGTGTCAAGACTGAAAATCTTGGATTTGGTGACCCCTAGTGGCAGTATTAAGAAAGACACTGCTATAGGGTTTGTACCATTCCTGCATGTGAAAGAAGGAACTAGATTATGTTCTATGTGTTGATAAATGTCTTTAACCCTTCCCCTCTTCCTCTGTTACACCATCATACTCATTCCATCTGTTTTTCCTTTCTAACAGGACTCTCTACTCGCCAGCCCGATCATCCTTGACCTGGTGATCCTGACCGAGCTTTGTCAGCGTGTGACTGTCCGACCCCAGGGAGAGGAGGACTTCCAGTCCTTCCACAGTGTCTTAGCGCTGCTCTCCTTCCTCTGCAAGGCACCCCTGGTCCCCTCAGGCACCCCAGTTGTCAATGCCTTTTTCCGCCAGAGAGCCTGCATAGAAAACATCATGAGGTACAGACGGGTTTTAGGTTTCTTTAACTAGATTGCACTGTACACTCAACCGCTTTTAAAGCTTATATACAGGTGTAAAATTTAGGGCTGCCCCGTTAGTCGACCAAATGTTAGTCGACTGAAAAGGTCATTAGTTGGCAAGATTTCATTGGTCGCTTAGTTGCAGGAAAAACAAACAAATTTGAAACACTATTAGGAGCTGCGCCTTGTCAAAATGAATCAAACATTATATGACTGGACCATGTGGGAATTTAATTTGAAAGGACAGACACAGGAAGTGGCCACGCTCAGCAGTCAGACAGGAGTCAGGTTAATTTCCAGGGCTGGTACCTGCGGTTATTCCACAGGCTAGTTAATAACATGTCGGGCAGGAAATCCAAAGTGTGGGATTATTTTGAGAAGGTGAAGGACTAACCCAAGGTGATATGTAAACTCATCTTCATTGGTCGACTACAAACATGATTTATCATCTGAAACATGGAAGTAGCTACATGCCCATTAGCCCACAGTGTCATTAACAGGCGGCTCGCTCAGTGTGTGACGTGCACTTGTAGATAAAATATAGGCCTATATTAATGAAGGTTCATTAGTACGGTTTTGTATTTCTCTGTAATGTAGCACAGTGTTAACAATGTTACTGATACTATTCTTTCTCACACCTTCAACTCAAACCATTGTGTTGCCCCGCCCAAAATATATCATTTAATAATTAAATTAATATTGTAAACATGCGGGCGACTAGTCGACTAATGGCCCTAAATGATGACTATTGGTCGACTAGGAACATTCTTAGTCGGGAGCAACCTGAGTAAAATTCTTGTGTTTCATTTTGTGACAACAGTTGACAACAGTCTCCCTCTTTGTCGTTTTCAGAGCGTGCCTCGGCCTTCCTCCTCAGAACCACATGCTGCTGGAGCACAAGCTGCAGAGAGACTTCCTGCCTCCACATACAACCTACATCAATGGCAACGTGGCTACTTTGAAGAAAGTTTCCCACACCAACGGGAACCATATTCCTCTAACAAATGGCATCCACGCACATGTCGATGATGCAGTACATGCACTATGACCGCAAACACAACACTACAGCCCAAGATATGACTGAGGCATAGCCTGACACCTTGTTTTAAAAGAACAAAGTCCCTCATTGGTGAAGCTGTCGATGCAAAACAAACAAGGCACACTTTCGTAAGATGCATTTAAAATCGTAGGTATTTAGCAAGCCTATTGAAGAATCACGTGGTGCTGCGACATTTACATATCATACATGCATCTGTCTGTTAAAGCTACTGAGCATCATCAGAGGCCAATATGAAGCCCTTAGACTACTATAATATCCTCACAGCAACACTGTTGAAAGCAGTTAAATTATATTTCATTGTTTTGCAGGATTAACCATGTACTGAATATTTAAATAAATAAATGCAGGATTTTTTTGCATGTATCTTTATTCAAGTAGTTTTCTGTGTGCAGCGCATGTGTAACATACAATATTTCTATAGTTCTTAAATAGGTTTATATGTGTAACTTGCAAATGTGAAACTGATCTTGCATCTGTGAAAATAACGAAACTGAAAAATGACAGGCATCTTCATAACTTAGTGTATTTTGTGTCGTTGTCTATCACTGCCTTTCTGTAGCTTTCTATGTGTTTGTGTTTGAGGCTAAGTTACATAATGTGGGTGCAATTTTGTTGAACAGTTACTCGGGCTATTTATATACAGTAAACCTTAAAATATTGTTTGAACTTAACATGTCTGAGGCATTTGTTTTTTTGTCCGTCTCACCTGACTTCTTATTTAACAATCTCTCAAGCTGCCTTGTAGTTTGTAATTTGTCTGTTCTGTCTAGTCTTGATCAGACAATTCCTGATTTAATGAGGTTTCAGAATTTAAAAATAAAATAAAATAAATTCAGGGTATCTTTATTCAAGTACTTACAAATTCAGATCCAAATTTAAGTTTCAGACTATAAGAAATAAAATAAAAAGTTAGTGGGAGTAATATTATTTGCAATAAATTTTAAAGAAATTATTGAATACATAAGTTTTAATTTCATAGCGGTGAATTCAGAATGAAAAAAAAGTCTGAAACTTAATTTTGGATCCGAATTTGTGGACACTGAAAAATGGATATATTCAAATTCAGCTTTTGAAATTGCAATAAATTAATATTTTAATTTCAGCGTCGAATTCAGAACAAAGAAAAATCTGATGAATGGTTTTCAAAGTATAATATTTCCATGTTATGAATTCAGTGGTTTAATTTTGGATATTAATGTTGAGTAATGTGCATTGTCCTTATAAAATAAAAAATAAAATAAAATGAAATAAATAAATCCAATTTTTTTTTTAATTTTACGGTAATTTGACTTTGTTCTCAAGGGGGGCTTCTTCCTCTGTCTTACCCAGGGATCAGAATCACTACGCGCGCCCCTGCACGGACTATTTGACGCACACAGCTGTCAGACAGCGTCCATAGCAACCAGACAGACAACGCGGAGGGATTTTACAGACGGGTCTTTTGTTTGGAGGCTTTCTGCTGTTTAAATCAGTAAGTATTCCTAATTTAACCACATTTTATTGTGATATATATTATCAATATAAACCGATATAAACTGGTCTGTTTCCTGTCTCCCGAGCCGTCTTAAATCACTTCCGCTGCCGTCGCAGCGACACGGGACGTCATCAGGAATGGCGGACAAGGAGAAGCGCCGGTCCGGGGCAACTCCTCCAGGGATGCCCGAGGGCAAAGCCACCAAGTCGGACAGCGACAGGGAGTTCCTGTCGCAGGCCGGGGTGGGAGAGCTGCTCCGCGGGGCCATCCTGAAGATGGTCGAGGCCAGATCGGACGATCCCATTGGGTTCCTGGCCGACCACTTCTGTAACCTCGCCTCTGCGACGGAGACCGGCACAGCTGGAGGCAGCGACGGGGAGCAGCTGAACAACGGGCCGCTGAGCGCAGGCGCGCAGGAGCAGCAGCATCTTAACCGGGCACTGTGGCACCTGCGGCTGGCTCACCACTCCCAGAGGTCCGGGTACATCCTACTTTGACATTACCTTTTCCTAATTGACCGAATATTAATCGACTAGAGGCAATGATCAAACCCATACATTCACTCACTGTGCTAACCTAAGCATTTAAATAATCCAGTTATCCATAATTTTGCTCTGCACCCCAGGGTGTTTGGTAGACTCTGTTGCAGCCTTCCCTGACTGTCACTGTGAATATAATAGTAATATAATTACAGGTCTGATCAACATGTAATTATGACTAGGTGTGGGTGTTTTAGAGTAACTCACCACAGTGCTAATGGTGCCAAAATACAGGCACAGTATGCTGCATCATTTTTATAGACAATGGCACTGGTAACAAACTGCAACATAAAGATGTAGGTTTGGGGGGTCTGGGGTGTAAATTTTGAGCATCATTCACGTAGTTTCCTGCATTCTGATGAATTTTAAAGCACCAATTTGTGTCTTTTCTGCATCAGTTTATGGTGGAAATCATGTCACGGTACTCCCTGCTTCAACTGTGCATATAGTTGCTTGCTCATCTTTCCCTTTTATGGCAGATTGCAACCGCTGTTTCTGAGATTGCATACTGCCACAACCTTCTTTACCCCACACAATTGTATGTGATCTAGATATTGAGGACGACATGTCCCCTTTGCCCCCTCCCCAAAAATCTGCACCTATGCATAATGGCCACATGGTTTATGAAGTGTAATGAATGGCTTATTAAAGGTACAGTGTAGTGACTTTTAACAAAACAGAATGTCTGAAAAAGCCACTAAGGGGCAAACGGGCAGACTTGGTCCAGACGTCTGCATCGATGTCTAGTGCGTGTTATCTAGCGATCCATTTATTCTCACTATAATATAAATGTTTACCATAACATAGAAGGGTGACAGCATTGTCCATATGTAATCATTATTCCATTTCCATGCCAATACACTTTCATGACATGCTTATATATCACGGTCAAAACCGTTTGCTTCCCGTTCCACACACTTGATTCCCACTAAGTCCCAATGTCCTCAAATGAGGCGATAATTAAGTCCCAGTGTCTTACAACGAGACAATGATAAAGTCTCAATGTCCTCAAACAAGACGATAATTAAGTCCCAATGTCCTCAAATGAGTCGATAATAAAGTCCCAGTGTCCTTAAACGAGACAATAATTAAGTCCCAACGTCCTCAAACGAGGCAATAATAAAGTCCCAGTGTCCTTAAACGAGACGATAATATTAAGTCCCAATGTCTTCAAATGAGATGATAATTAAGTCTCAGTGTCCTCAAACGAGACAATAATTAAGTCCCAATGTCCTCAAACGATTCTATAATAAAGTCCCAGTGTCCTTAAATGAGACGATAATATTAAGTCCCAATGTCTTCAAATGAGACGATAATTAAGTCCCAATGTCTTAAAACAACACAATAATTAAGTCCCAACGTCCTCAAATGAGGCGATAATAAAGTCTCAGTGTCCTTAAACAAGACAATAATATTAAGTCCCAATGTCTTCAAATGAGACGATAATTAAGTCCCAATGTCTTAAAACAACACGATAATTAAGTCTCAATGTCCTCAAACGAGATGATAATAAAGTCCCAATGTCCTCAAACGAGACAATAATTAAGTCCCAATGTCCTCAAACGAGGCTATGATTAAGTCCCAATGTCTTTAAACGAGACGATAATATTAAGTCCCATTGTCTTCAAATGAGACAATAATTAAGTCCCAATGTCCTCAAACAAGGCGATAATAAAGTCCCAGTGTCCTTAAACGAGACGATGATTAAGTCCCAATGTCTTAAAACAAGGCGATAATAAAGTGCCAGTGTCAGTAAATGAGACAATAATAAAGTCCCAGTGTCCTCAAACGAGACAACAGTAAAGTCCCATTGTCCTCAAACGAGACAACAATAAAGTCCCAATGTCTTCAAATGAGATGATAATAAAGTCCCAATGTCCTCAAACGAGACGATAATAAAGTCCCAATGTCTTAAACAAGATGATAATAAAGTCCCAATGTCCTCAAACAAGACAATAATTAAGTCCCAATGTCCTCAAACAAGGCGATGATTAAGTCCCAGTGTCCTTAAACGAGACGATAATATTAAGTCCCAATGTCTTCAAATGAGACAATAATTAAGTCCCAATGTCCTCAAACGAGGCGATAATAAAGTGCCAGTGTCAGTAAATGAGACAACAATAAAGTCCCAGTGTCCTCAAACGAGACAACAATAAAGTCCCAATGTCCTCATACGAGTACTTCCTAATTAAGAGTGTTGTATCTTGTTACTGTTGCTAAAATTGGTCAAATGTGTTGCCATATCAAACTACAAATGTTATTTATCGTAAATAAACAAGTTTCAACCATAAAATGTGATCAGGTTTTGGACCTTGTCCACTTTTTTGTCGGGATCGGCTGCAGTCTGACTTGGAGGTGATGGCTGCCATCTTGTTTTTACATGGATTACTATATTGTGCTCTTACTACCTCTAGATGGCACAAAAAACTTGTCCATGAACGAGGACATCAGGTCTAAGTTAAGTATGTTAAGTTAAGTAGTTAAGTAGATGGTCCCGTAAACCCAAAATGTAATGTCCTCATATAAGGACACAGGGTCTCAGGAGGTGAAGGAAAATCTTAATTGAAGGTGTTTTGTGCAGTCAGCCCCTGAACCCCAAATTGCATCAGTGTGTGAGTGCAGGTGAATGTTTAGCTGAGCAGGTGGTGCCTTGTATGGCCGCCTCGGCCAGTGGCATATGAATGTGTGTGTGAATGGGTGAATGCGACATGTAGTGTGAATGGGATTTGAGTTGATGGAAGACTTGACAGGCGCTATACAAGTGCATTTAAAAGACAAACTGATGATTTGCTTTCTGTTACCCCTTTTCTTATTCTAAACCCAGATCTGCATTCAGCAACAACGTCTGTGTGGCCTACGACCTTCTGAACCTCACCAGGCCCCGTAGACGTGTAGGCGAGGCTCCTGAAGGCCCTGATGGCTCCTGCACCACCAGCCCGACAGAAGCAGGGGGAGGAGGCGTGAGAGGAGGCCTGTACACACAGACTCTGCAGTGCCTCTGCAGTGAGGGCGGAGTCCCTGCCTCCACATCCGCCCCGCTCCTCCGCCGCCTCCATTGCCAAGACCACGAGGCCGTCCCTTATGATGTTTTCCGCCACGGCGTGCTCACGTGTGCAGTTTTCTCAGACTATATTCGGCAGGCTCAGAGGCTTTACGCTGAGGTGTGCTGCCCGGATGAAGGGCCTGCATCGCGGGCGCTGTGCCTGGCCGTGCTGGGGACCTTAAAGGAAGCCCTGGAGACTTCCCAAGGCTGCGAGGCAAACTGCTGTGTGAATGCTAATGCTAAAGCTAACTGCTGTATGGAGGTTAACATGAAGGCTATACGCTACCTGGAGGCCAGTGCCAAGATCTCTCCATACAAGCTGGGTCAGGCCATGGCTGGGTCACAGACACGGGGCCCAGGTGGTGATATGGACGCAAAGGAGTTTGAGAATGCAGCAGCAGAGCTTTTTATCACTCGAGTCAAAGTTCTGTCTTAGGTTTCCTGTCTGTCTCTTCATGATTTATGGATGTCCAGCAATCTAATGTAGGGTAAATAACAACCTTGTGTGTACCTCCTCTAACCCACACTCACATATTGTGATATTACCTCCTCTTAAGAACGACACTAACCCCTGATTGTTTTGAAGATAACACTAATTGTAAAACATATTGTTTGATGTCTGTTATTGAACTTATTAAAGTGGAAGAGATGAGAAATCGACATCTGCCGTGACAAAGCAAGCAGCCGCTGTGCTGTGTGAAGGAGCTACTTTCATGGACTAAATGCATTCCTTGAGATCAGCATTGATCCTGTCAGTTTCCATTATTGTTCTGCCTTTGCCAATAAATGCTCACATTAGAAAGTAACACTGTGTACTGATCTACATCTAATGCAGTTCAATACAACAACCCTGTAATAAATCCTCCTTTATTGTTGAGAGGGGTGTTGGTTAGGAACTCTGCGTCCTCTCAGAGACTGCAGTTTGTGATGCTGCTGTATTGTTAGCATTGTTGACTCACAGCAAGAGAGTTACTGGTCCAAACCCATGATGGGGGAGCCCTTCTGTGCAGATTTTTTCTCCCCTTGTCAGCGTGTGTTTCTCTGGGTGCTCTGGCTTCCTCCCACAGTCCAAAGACATGCAGGTTAATTGGTGACTTTAAATTGCCCTTAGGTGTGAATGTGAGTGTGAATGGTTGTCTGTCTCTATGTGTCAGCCCTGTGATAGTCTGGCGACCTGTCCAGGGTGCACCCTGCCTCTTGCCCATTGTCAGCTGGGATGGGCTCCAGCCCCCCACGACCCCCAACAGGATAAGCTGTTACGGAAAATGAATGAATACGGACAATGAGTTTGATCGGAGCCATTGCACCCTGATGAAGGCACTGTTGCAGAAAACATTTAGGGACATAAACATTGGATGTTCACTTCTTATGTCAAATCTGCAACTAAAGAGAATGCTAATAAAGTGCCAGACACTAATAAATCAGAGCAAAGACGGGAGCTTACAGAGTTGATGATGGGAGAAATAAAGATGTGAGTGATTAGGAAGTACTTTCGGATGCATGAGCAAGCCCTTTTGCAAGGTCCAAGACCAAGGAGGACAAAATTCTTCCCCAGCAATAGTCCTGAAGAAAGAGACTTCAGGGAACCTAAAAAGAGCAAAGTACTGAAGAACAGATGACGCAATGTTGCATGACAGTTTTTATTCAGTGCTGAAACAATATTTTCCTCCACCCTTGTTTTTATACCTTGTCATGGCAAGCTCTTTGAACATCCCCGTATCCACTTTCTGTCTGTGGCTGTAGAGATGCGCAAGCCCATGACAAAGATCACACATTTCTGATGCCCATCCACCTCCTACTGAAAGACTCCATCTGAAAATGTTGCGTGCCAGTCTATTGTTTGGTAGATCAAGCTATTTTTTTCCCCACAGGTTTACCATGTTGGCCTTCCACCTAACCTCACACGGTACCCACCCCATATCACCGTTAGCAGCAGATATGAGGGCATATCTATGGACCCCTAGGAAGTACCGATTTGCCTTATTTTGCACACTTATACTTTCATTGAAATGTATGGATCCCCAAACCCCAGATGAGTAGTCCAGAATAGGACAAACACAAGACTGATATAAGTGAGTGTATGTGGCAAAACCCATATATCTTACCACCTTAGTTTTTCCAATCACACCTCCTAAAACTCTACCTGTAGAATCTGCTCATAATGACGTCCCTGGAATAACAGAGTCTATGTTAAGTTTTGAACTGTATGAGACTAAGTTACATTCTACATGCTACATTGACTGAACAGTTGTGTATATTCCTTAAATGTTCATCCCAGACTTCATCTGTTAGTGCTGTATTCAGTTTGTCTACCCATGCCCGTTTGATTCCTAAGGTGTCCAATGGATCTGATAGAAATAAGAAACTGCCTCCTGGTATTATTAATTAATTTAAACAACATAGCACCATCTTATCCAATGTTAAGAACAAAAAAAAGCTTACCAAGTTACCATTATGTTAGTGAAATGTTATATTATGGCAATATATAATGTATACTTATTCTTTTTTTGGTCTATTTCTCTGTTTGTACCTCTGAATATGAACTTTTGCACATAAAGACAGTGAAAACCCCTCAATTTATAACAAACCAGTACTCGCTTTCACCCACTAGATGGCAGCACCTCTCTGGTTCTCAGTCCAAACAGGAAGACAGCGGAAGTAGTAAACCAGTTTGTCACAGCCTGTGTTGAAATGACAGGACTGTTACCTGTAACAACACCTGAACCTCCTGGTACACATTACAGCTGAAAGCCTCGCGTGCTGCCTCCCGGCTGAAGCTGTCAAAATGGAGGAAGAGGAGCAGCTGTGCTCCTTCATGTTCCTGATGACTTACATGCTCCTGAAGCGCAGGAGAGACATCAACAACGCCAACATCCAGAGGCGCAATGAGATCCAGAGACGCATCAGACATCGGCAGTATTTCTTCCAGAGACAGAGGAGGATGCTCATGGTCAGTGCCGTCCTCTGGGGCTCATTGTATACCCCAATATAACCACTCATATATTATATAGGCCTATAGGCTAAATGCTGATGTACACTTTGTCACATTAACCCAGAACACGTCCTGTAATTAAACACTATATTTTTGAGATTTATTTATTTCAGTAAGCTAGAAGCTGCCAAAAATTGGGACAACATTTTAACACATTTTTGAAACCGCTGGAAGTGTTGTGCATAACTTTTGTAATAAAGTTAAGAACAAAATATTCTTAGTGTATTTACATTTAGGATACATAATTTAGCTTCAAGTATCAAAATTTATTGGGTAGAAATTTTCCTTGAATTTCTTATGAATAAACCAAACATTTTTCCATTTAAGGTAAAAAGCATGGTAATTTCTGGAAATGACAAAAGCACATAAATCCTTTTAAACACCTCTACTGCACCGACAGTTTAAAATAAATTATAGTCTCAATAAAGCCTTAAAATCAATGGTTTTTAACAACTTTTGTAAGAGCATGACATGTACATGTGGGATGAAATCAGTGAATTCATGTAAAGAAAGTCTTTATTATTATTATTTTAATGCTTTTTTTTTTAACTTTACAGGTACAAACAAACAAGACACATTTTCAAACCCTGTTCATCAAATAGCTTCTGCCTCAGGTTGAGCAGCAAATATAAAAACCTGGGACTGGTTGCACAAAACACCTTAATTTTCTCCTTAATTATGACACTTAAGGCTTCATTTCTGTGTGTTAGTTTTTTTTTTCTTCATTTATCACCATGAGCTCAGTCATGTTGCAGATAAGATAGAGTCAGGGGTACCTTAAGTTGTTTTTTTTGTTTTTTTTTACCTTGCTTTGGTTGCTAAGGTGTTTTGTGCAATGGTTAAGGGATTCCTTAAGTAGAAGACAAAGATAAAACCATAAATACTTAAGTGAACATTTTAAGGAAAAATCAAGGAGAAGACTTCAGGGTGTTTTGTGCAACAGATTTCATTTGGATGGAACCTTAATTAGGATTTTAAGGAAAATCTTAACTTAAGGTCGATTGTGCAATGGTCTAGGGACTTTTTAAGTATAATTCAAAGACAAAGATAAAACCATAAATACTTAAATGAACATTTTAATGAACCTTAAGGAGAAGACTTAATAATGTTTTTTGCAACAGATTTTATTTTGAGGAAACCCTAATTAGATCTTTAAGGAAAATCTTAACGTAAAGTCTTTTGTGCAACAGTCTAGAGATTCCTTAATTATAAGACAAAGATAAAACCATAAATACTTAAGTGAACATTTTAAGGAAACCTCAAGGAGAAGACATCAGGGTGTTTTATGCAACAGATTCCATTTGGAGGGAACCTTAATTAGATCTTAAGGAAAATCTTAATGTAAGGTCTTTTGTGCAACAGTTTAGAGATTCCTATAAGACAAAGATAAAACCATAAATACTTAAGTGAACATTTTAAGGAAACCTCAAGGAGAAGACTTAAGGGTGTTTTGTGCGACAGATTTCATTTTGAGGAAACCTTAACTAGAACTTTATGGACAATTAAGGTCTTTTGTGCAAAACCTTAAAGGGATTCCTTAAGTATGAGACAAAGATAAAACCATAAATACTTAAGTGAACATTTTAAGGAAACCTTAAGGGGAACCATCTTTACTGTCAGTGGGAATTTATTTTATCATTAACCTCTTCTCATCAGATGATGATAGCAGGAGGGATCCGCTCCAACGTCCGCATCCGCACTCGTCCCTGGACCACCACTCAAAGCACTGACTGGTGGGAGCGGGTGGTGATGACAGAGTTCCAGCCGTCTGATTGGCTGGATAAGTTCCGCATGAGCCGGGAGACGTTCTTCTACCTCTGTGACAAGCTAAGGCCCCGTCTGGCTCGTCAGGACACCAGCTTCCGCCTGGCGCTGCCGGTGGAGAAACGTGTAGCAGTGGCTCTGTGGCGGCTGGCATCCAACATCGAATACCGCACCATCAGCACCCTGTTTGGCGTGGGGAAGTCCACCGTGTGCAGGTGTGTTAGGGACATGTGTCACGCCATTGTGGCGCTCCTCAGCTCCATCTACCTGCGGTCCCCCAGTGAGCAGGAGCTGGAGGACTCAGCCCAGCTCTTCCTGTCCAACTGGGGCTTCCCTCACTGTGTTGCTGCCATAGCAACCCTCCACACAGCCATCATCACCCCATCAAACAACGCGTCGGACTATGCCAACCCTGCTGGCTGGCTGTCAGTGCTGTCTCAGGTAGAGAGGGCGCCCTTTACACTGATGAAAGTACATGCTCGCTTGCTATCAGATATTGACTCCTTACCTCTGTCTGTCTCTTTGGTGGCTTTGAGGTGGCTGTCAGTGGACGGGGACAGTTCTGGGATGTATGTGCCAGTTTCCCAGGTGGGACAGACCCAGCTGATATCTTCCAGAACTCATCGCTGTGGGCCACAGCTGCAGAGGGTGGACTGTCGCCTGCCACGCCATCTGACTTCATGGGAAAACCACTCAGGTAAAATTAAAGTCAACAGCATAACTGTTGAATCAGGATCTAAGCAGCCATATTTTCAGACATATAAGGATACTGTACGCACACTTCTATCTTGCCTCCTAAGTGAACCTCAGGCCAGTTAATGCTGCCACACTCCACTCAAACATGTTTGCATATTTACAGCTGGCAGCTCTCCAACGTCCTCCTCTTTGAGCTGAATAAAAGCTGAAACTGAACAATGCTGAGTCCGTCTGTTGTGTCTAGGTATGTGCTGCTGGGGGAGGCCTGCTACCCTCTCCAGAGCTGGCTGATGAAGGCCTATCCTGAGGAAAAGGGTAGGAGGATCAGCCACACGGCGCTGACGGAGCCACAGCGACTCTTCAATCGGCGACTCACCAGAGCTCTGCGTGTGTCTGAGGAGGCGCTGCTGAGGCTGAGGGCTCGCTGGCAGTGTCTGAGCAAGAGGAACGACTGCGGACTGGACGTGGTGCCCACCATGATTCTGGCGTGCTGCATTCTGCACAACATGTGCGAGTCCCACGGGGACGCCTTCAAGGAGGAGTGGCAGCAGGAGGTGTCGGAGGCAGAGAGCCCTCAGCCCAGCCACAAGCAGCTCACCTCGACCAGCACTGACCAAAGTCATGCCGAGGAGGTCCGACAACTCTTCTGTAACTACTTTGAAGAGCAGAACAATTAAAAATGCTACATGTAAAGACTAATCCCCTTAAGCGTGTACTGTTACAGTATATTTTTTAGCCACATGGTGCTTGTTGAGTGGTTTTGAACATGTATTTTTATGCACACTTAAAGGACTGTGAAAGCATTCAGATGTTAGCATTGATCTCAAATGATGGTTGAACCTTAAATGACCCAGAGATAGACAAAGTAAAGCAAAGACTGACTGAAAATAAGCTAAACCTGAAAATTTAGACCTCAAATCAAGTCTGAGATGTCCGTAAATCATGATGCATCCACCATAGGAAACATACTTTTGATTTAGGCAGGAACATGTTTTTACCATGTGCCACCATCCGACCGTCTTTACATGTTCTGCCCCACAAGCAGTAGCATGGGCCGATTACGAGACAGACCTCTGGGCACAGACATGCTGAAGGCCCCCAGCACCTCACCTGCACAGGAGGAAGACACACATACTTAATAGTTGTTGAGTGTCTTTTTTTGTTGTTGTTTTGTGTTTCTTTGTAGAAATTATGCATCTCTCTGAGGTTGTTTATCCCTTTGCGGACATTTTGTGTCTCTTTGTGGTTGTTTTGCCCCTTAAAGTAGTTGTATTGCATCTCTTTGTAGTTGTTTTGTGTCTCTTTTTGGTCGTTTTGCGTCTCTTTGTAATTACTTTGCATCTTTATGTGTCTCTGTGGTTGTTTTGCTCCTTTTTGTAGTTGTCTTGAGTGTCTTTGTTTCTCTTTGCAGCTGTTTTGCATCTCACTGTAGTTGTGCTTTGTCTGTTTGTGGTCTTTTTGTGTTTTTCTAGTCATTTTGTGTCTTTTGGTTTTATTGTTTTGCCCCTTTTTGTAGGTGTATTTCATCAATTTGTGGTAGTGTCTTTATTTGGTCATTCTGCATCTCTATGTAGTTGCTTTATGTTATTTTATGTCTCTTTATGGTTATTTTTCCCTTTTTGTAGTCATCATGAGTCTCTTTGTGTCTATTTGCAGCTGTTTTGCATCTCTTTGTAACTGTATTTTGTCTCTTTCTGGTCTTTTTGTGTATGTTTTTAGACATTTTGTGTGTGTTTGTGGTTGTTTTGCCCCTTTTTGTAGTCATATTTCATCTCTTCATAGTAGTTTTGTGTCTCCGTATGGTCATTTTGCATCTCTCTGTAGTTGCTTTATTTTATTTTATGTCTCTTTATGGTTGTTTTTCCCTGTTTTGTAGTTGTCATGAGTCTCTTTGTGTCTCTTTGCAGCTGTTTTGCATCTCATAGAAGTTGTTCATTCATTATGTGTCTGTGGTTGTTTCGCCCCTTTTTGTAGTCATATTGCATCTCTTTGTAGTTGTTTGTGTCTTTTTTGGTCCTTTAGCATCTCCTTGTAGTTGCTTTACATTATTTTACATCTCCTTATGGTTGTTTTTGCCCTTTTTTGTTTGCTATCGTGAGTCTCTGTGTGTATCCTTGCAGTGGTTTTGTCTTGCTTTGTGGTTGCTTTTTGTCATTTTATGCGTCTTTGTGGTTGTTTTACCCCTTTTAGTAGTCATCTTGCATCTCTTTGTAGATGTTCTGTGTCTCTTTTTGGTTATTTTGCATCTCTTTGTAGTTGCTTTACATTATTCTGTGCCTCTATAAGGTTGTTTTTCCCTTTTTCGTAGTAGTCGTGAGTCTCTTTGTGTCTCTTTGTAGTCGTTTGTGTTTTTTTCTGGTCTTTTTGTAGTCATTTTAGGTTTCTTTGTATTAGTTTCGAGTCTCTTCCTGGTCAGTTCGTGTCACTTCGAGTGACATCTTGCAGGTGAAGGCCAGAGGGGGCCCCTGACACTTTGGGTCCCTGGGCTTGTGCCCAATAGGTGCGTTCAGTAATCCATCCACAGTGGTAAGGATCAAAGACCAACAAACTTGTCAGAAAATCAAACAGTTGTTTTCTATTGTGTCATAAGCATCACAGCCTGGATGACTTTTTCTATTTACTGTGCTCATTTATTTTGTTTTGTACATTTTTATGTAGTGCATCACTGCATAAAGAGCTTGTGTAAGTTTGTTGCATGTGGTTTAATCCTGTCTTGAGTCTGTAAACAGTTGTAGAAAAAATGTACAAAATGATGTTTGCTTCACTCCTGGTAACCAGTTTGCATTTAATGTGAGTACATGCAACTCAACACTGGGGCCACAAGATGTCCCTGCTGCCACAGCATACAGCCACCACAGTCATCACTAATAATGTGTCTGAGCTGATGCTTGCATTGTGCTGCAGGTTATTGATGAATTGATGGGGATTATGTACTTACTGAAATGTCTTCTGTCTTTGATGATGAGCTGTTGCACCACAGTTTGATAGATTTTTTTTCCCAGCAGTGCAGAGGAGTGTGCAGCATGGACTTGATTTAGTTATGATCTCACATGCATTGCCTGTAAAATCTGAAAATAAGGCATCCTTTATTCATGCATGGGTTTTGCATCTTCTCAACGAGACAACTTGTGCGCTCACCGCCGCGTAGGACCCGCCTCGTCCATTCAATTGGTCTGTCACCAACCTTTTTCATGCAGCCCTCCGTCTGTCACTCAACACCACAGTATCTCCTCCTCCTCCTCGCTTGGCATCAGACTGGTGTGTGTGCCGACCTTGTTCCAGCGACGAACTACCCGAAAGCCAGCTGTTTGCAGCGCATACATTTCAGGCTAAAGCCACCGGTCCGGCACGCATTTTACCCCCCTCTTTTTCCAGGGCTGCGGTAGTCGCCTTGTGTTTTACCGTCAAAATGAGTCAGGATGTGATGGGGTGCTGCCCTGCTATCGCTAGCTAGGCGGACAAATTCCTTCAACCAGCTCGCTGTTTCAATCACTGCGGGTTGACACAACATTAGCCGAGGCGTTGTTAAGTGAGCTAGCGGGCTAGCAAGGCTGCTACCGTAGCCGTTACGTGTGAGTTAGCCAACGTTAGCTAATGTAGTTAGTTAGAAAACGGGACGCATCGCTGCGGCGTAGATAGTGCAATAACGGTTATTAGCTTACTAGCTACGGACTACTACTTTTTCCCCCTAGCGTCAGTTAGCTAGCTAACGTTGGTGAGACTGCACAGAAATCAACTGTTACGGGTTTGGATGTCGCGACACTGCAGTTTTGAACCACTTTTGGCGGATTGTGAGGACAGAATTGGACAGAAAAAGACAAGCTAGACTCGGAGCACCAGGTGACAAGAGGGGGTTAATGATATAAACCAGGTGTTAAGTGGCTAATCTGCGGCGGTTGCAGTCATTTTTGACATTAGCTGTTTTAAGGCAGAGCATCTCGTGGAGGCCCCGCCACCAACGTCTCTTGACTCCCTCCTCCCCCCTGTCCGAATCTCCCGTGATTTGCCGAGATCACCCGGGTGAAGTCGCAGTCGCTCTCGGCTGGGGGGACAACTTGACAACGAGGCCCCTAGCTAGTCTCCCCTCCCCCAGTCCCGGTCCATCCATCCTCTCCAGCCCGACAGACCCGCCTCATCTCGCCCGAGATCGACGCGAGGGCCGGGGGATTCGGGGAGAAGCTGAAACCGTGTGTCGGGTCCCGTCCTAACCGGGCTGCCAAAACCAGAGGGGATGACTCTGGAGTCCATGATGGCTTGCTGCCTGAGCGAAGAGGCGAAGGAGTCGAAACGAATCAATGCAGAAATTGACAAACAACTCCGCCGAGATAAGCGAGACTCCAGGAGAGAGCTGAAATTACTTCTCCTCGGTATGTGGCATGCTAATCCTCAAATGTCTGCTCTCATGTCTTGTTTCGGTGTATGTATGGAAAACTAACGTTCTTGGGCCTTCTTGGCGATGCTAGCAAATATGCTACTCGTTAAGGCTGCTAGCTGGGAGCCTGGGTTCACTATGAGTAACGTTATGGCAGGATTTCCGAAATGCGTGGCTTGTCTTGGAGCTTGCTGAGGGGAATTAGTTAGCTGGCTGCTTCAGGTGCATATCTGCAACATAGCCACGGCTAGACACCCGTACTGTCTATACCCTAACGCAGTGTATTGCTGTGCAGACAGCAGCTCATTTGGCTACGGAGTTACCGAGATGTCACAGTTTGCAGGCTACCACATGCTTGTCAGAGGGCCAGTTTGACATCATTGACTAGCCCTGTAGCTAATCAGTCGGTCAGCATCAAAGCTGCCTCTGTGGTCATTTGATAATCCAAGAAGCAGGATTGCTAGCTGTGGACACTGTTGCCTTCACCGGGTTGCATAACATTTGCACAACTGGATGAGGCTTCAGGTGCCTTAGCTAGAAATGCTTGCCGCCCTTTCATTCATTTATCAATTGCAATTGATTTTTAATCTGCACTCAGTGTCAAAAATCTACCCTTCTCTAGGACAAGGATACTGAGGGATTTGCCCCCTCATCCTGGAGTCTAGCTGAGTAGGTTAGCTATTTTTATAGCTGGTGTGTGGGCAGGTGGGAGCTGCTGTTGAATAAGTTGCTCTGTGCTGCATTGATTCATAGTTCTGTGGATACAAAAAGGAACATTAGGCTGTGGTTCATCACAAGCGTGCTTGTGGCGCTTTCAGGAACATGCATTTTGTGTGCATGCATCTTCCAACAGGGTAACTTTCTAACTGCTTGTGCATGTGACCCTGCAAGCCGTACTAAAAAACAACAGATACATGTGAAAGCTCCTCAGGAAAAAAAAGCAAGTGTCCACCCATTTTTAGGACAATTAGAATTATCTAGGTTGCATCCTTAGTTTCAAAACGTTTGCTCCCATTTCTCTCCCACCAAAAGCAGCCCTGGTTATTTGACATGTGTGTCTCCTTTCATTTCCCTGCTGAATACCTCAGCTTGGATAAGTAGGCCACACTAGAGCCATACCGTTGATGGGACATATTCTATTCTGTGTCATACATTTTAATCGCTCTTGCGCTCTTTTTCTACCTGGTGGCCAAAGTGAGCTGATAAAAAGGGGCGTTTGTTTTTGTGTCACAGTTTTGCGATGGTTTGCTTGTGTGCTGCGATCCTATTTTTCCTCTCAGATTATCAATAAAGGGTTGGGTTAACAGTGATTGCAGGATATTTAGAAATTTAAGTAATCATTTACACTCAAACATAACTGCCTCTGGCATTTTAGTTTGTCCATATTATCACTGATTTTGACAGCAAACATTAAAAAACACTCATCTAAGTGTTAGTGTGTGAAAGGCAGAAAGCAAGCAAGAACTGCAATCAGTCATGGTGTAAGTGGCCCATCCTGTGTGAGTTAAGGCTGTCAGTGGACGCCTGGATAAGGACGTGTAAGGCAGGATTAGTCTAGGTCTTAATAGGCTTGGTTAAACACATCCGCTGCTGAGACTTTGAGATGTCACTGACTCCTATTATCCCCTGGCATTATTCTCAGGCCCACGGCCCTCAGCGAGCCGCCTGCCTCTCCACACCTCACTGGAGGAAGAAGACATTTGTTTCTGTCTCTGAACATTTAACCACCACGTTCCATCAAGTGTATTTTAAAGGAGAGGGAAGGCGATTAGAGCTGCGTATTGAGTACTGGACGTTTATCCATCTCAGTTGAATGTTGTGGGAGTTGTTCGGTCATCAGCTGCCGTGCAGTTCAGTGTATGTACGGGAGATAGGTTGTACATTTCAGCTGGGCTCAATGCAATGTGCCCAGCCTCTCCTTCTGGCCGAGTATTGGCAGTTTTTGTACATAATGTACAACTTAAGGCTGCTGTAGCTTTAGCTGTAGTGAAGATATTTTGTGGAGGCATGTGATTCTGATTTCTTTTTAAGGTATCATAATTCAGCTCACCTCTTATGTTGCGTGTCTGGATTTATCTTGGAATGATTTATGTAGGGTTGAGAAAATTTGTTGATCAAGATGAAAGGATTTGGCAAAAATTCTAATAATCTAAATAATCATTTAAATTATTTATTAAGCAAAAAGGCCATTAGCGTCTAGTTCCAAGTCCTCCAGTGAGACGAGTTACAGCATTTCTCCGTTTTATATGATTTTAGATGGAGTATTTTTGAACAAAAACAATGGAACAAGACATTTAAAGGTGTCACAGTGGGAGCTAGGAAATTGTGACATGCATTTTTTTACTACTGATTATTAAAATAAATCTTAGTAATGGGGCTGACCTGATTGCTTTGAAGCTTTGATCATTGCCATGGTAAACGATGTCCAAATCAGTATTCAAATGCTCTGTTTTTCTGTACCATTGCCCTTAAAAAAAATCCCAAATAGCCCATGAATTAAGAAAAGTAATCCAACATTATTCACCACGCTTCAACAATTAATGGTAGCCATTTTCAGACGAGGACATTTGAACTCAGTGAGAGGTGTACTTTTGTGACTATGACACTTTGACCATCCGAGACAAGCTTGCAGATACGCTAGCATGATGTCAAAAAAAGTCAAGTGTCTGGAATAGTTTCAAAATTTGCAACAATGACCCCCAAAAAGTCAAGTTCCAGATATGCCAAAAGAAACTGGCATATCACAGATCTACAACCAGCTTGGCACATCATTTAAAAACTGAAACAGCTTAGCCAGCTTGCAAAGTCTAGCTATTACGGCTAATGCTACTGCAACCTGCATGCTAACAAAAGGTTAATTGTCATATTATACCCCTGAAGCTTCAATTAATTGCAGATATTTCTATCTGAAGCTTCGATGCCCAAAAGCGGATCTTGGGGACATACCTATGTAGTAAGTTGCATTACATTAGAAGCAGAATATATTTGGAAATGAAAATTTCCTGAAGCTCAATGTAATGTCGTCACATTGCTTGTTTTGCCTGTCCAAAACAAAAAGGAAGACTTTTTTTTTTTTTTTTACAGAATGTAAAACAGAGAAAGTAGCAAATTCTCACACTTGAGTTTTCGTCACCACAAAGTGTTTGGCATTTTTGCTTGAAAATGACTTTGATGATTAATCTCTTTATCAAAATAGTTGTAGAATGACCGACTAATCCGTTAATCTGCTAAATGTTTCAGCCCTGGATTGATAGGTTGTCTTGTTCCCTCAAGAAAGTGTTTATTTCTCACACCAGTTCAGGTCCACCCTCCTTCAGTGTTGCTCTGCCTTCCTGGCAGGGTTTACTTAATGGTCGGGACTCATTGCCAAAACAGCCATGTCTTGAAAGCAGTTATGAGGTTTGGTTCTGGCATGAAATTACAGTGAGGCTGAATGCTTAGTTTGCAGGTAAAAGCTCTAACAACATCATGCTTAGCCACTTGGTCAGAAAATAACAACTCTGCCAGGGCTGCAGCAGTGCCCACAGTCTGGCTGCCTGTGACTGAGGCCATATCAGGCCATACCGACAGCTTCCTGCTCCACAGACCAGTGGTTTGCCTCTACTTGGTCAAAACACAGTGGACCAGGAGCTGTGGCCTTTGCTGCATCGGGTAAATGAACTGCTGGAGCGAGTGAACGGTCAGTAAAGTGAGATGGAAGGGCAAGCGCTTTAGGGTTTCCTAAAGTGCTGACCGAGGCAAAGTGTAAGCTCCCAGTCAGGCTGTCAGTGTACCAGTGTGCATTTTGCGAAAATGTGGGTTTCACATGAAATACGAGGAAGAGAATGTCTGGCGATCGGTAAAAAAATCCCTAGAATGACGTCAGGAAGGCACTTTTGGTCATCGGAGAATTTGTCAAGCACAGTATTTAAGAAAGAGGTCTGACTAGGGCAAAAGTTGGCTCAACGGCCAAAATCATTGTGGATGGCTTGGTAGCACACTATCCCAGGCAGAGGTTTAATGTACAGTCTTCTGCCAAGTCCGCATTGATTGAGTTGTTCTTGTTGATCCTCCATGTCTCAGCAGTACGTCTTGTTACCAGGTTAAGACACCCTTTAGAGGAACAGACTGATTGAACCAGGAAGAGGATCAGGGGTTAGGCTCAGATGTTTATTGCTGACCTTCCTTCTCTTGCCAAGCTGTCTTATTTTGATCATATATGGCAATAGGGATCTTCTAGCTCTACTCCTCAGTGGTTGTGTGTGTGTGTGTGTCTCAGTGTGTGTGTGATACGGTACTTTTAATGCCAGTGAATGTGGAGCTATGCGGATGGCCAGTTATTACTGAAATCCTCTTTATCATGGTCAGATCCTGCACTTTTTAATATGGAGATCACTATGAGACAGGTCTTTGCAGTATTTCAGAGTTAAGAAAATCTGATAACAACCCATTGGCATTAAACATCAGCTCATAGAAGCATTTTTGATGCTGCACTGCAGTTTCTTGTAACATATTAACTGATGTACACCAATACTGATCTATCTATAACAAGCTAACATCAGCCAATATATTGCTCCAGCCTCTAGTACATCTAATGTCACTTATTCTTAGTGTAGTTTTATGGAAAATAGCCCAAAATCTCTTTGACAGAAACGCATCTGTAATTGTAAGTCCTTCTGCACTGCCTCAGAGAAACACTTGGACAACCACATTGTATTTTTCTGTGCACATGTGGTGGTGAATGTGGCTGCAGCGTTGCTGTGAATGGAAATGTTCTGTCGTCATTGACTAAGATGCTTCTATGACTTTAATGTGAGGGAAGTGATCTGTTCTCTCTGGTAAAAATGCTAGATTTTATCTCATTGTTTGCAGGAATGCAGACATATTGATACAACTACAAATACTACAACAGCAAAAAAAAAAAAAAAAGATTTATCAAAAGCAAAGCTTGTCCAGTTCTCGGAGTATCTTCAAGGCCGAGTACCTCTGGCAACAGTAAGGTTCAGCACTACACTA